GCATTAGTAATTTGCAGATGTGTGATGGCATCAGAGATTGTGATAATGGGGAAGATGAGCTAGATTGTCATAGATGTTTAGCAGCTGAATTCATCTGTGCAGATGGAAGTTGTATTCCTTTGAAATACACGTGTGATCGCATACCAGATTGTCTAGATGGTGCTGATGAACATGCAGAACTATGTGCAGTGTGCTCAAGTGAAGAATTTCCATGTGTCGATGGAAGTTGTATTCCTTTATCTTGGCGTTGTGACAAGATAGTAGACTGCCATATGGTGAAGATGAATTCGCGTGTGACGGTTGTTTAATAACTGAATTTGCATGTAATGATGGCAGCTGCATTTCATCTGCCTACTTGTGTGATGGAGTTGTAGACTGTCCTAGTGGTACTGATGAATATTGCAATGACTGTACATCTGCACAGTTTACTTGTGCTGATGGTACATGCGTTCCTTTAACTTATATCTGTGACACCATTGTTGACTGTTCTGATGGCACAGATGAAAGCCAAGAAACTTGCTCAATTCGTTGTTCTGCAGATCAATACGCTTGCGTGGATGGAGAATGCATTGAATCTTCACAGGCATGTGATGGCATAAGAGATTGTCGAACTGGTGAAGATGAAATGGGATGTAGAGACTGCAGCAATGATGAATTCGCCTGTTCAGATGGTAGTTGCATTCCATCTGACTACTTATGTGATGGATTAACTGACTGTCCTTCAGGTATTGATGAAACCACTTTCGCATGTGATGGATATTTATGTTCTGATTATGTCTGTCAGTCAGGAGAGTGCGTAATCCTTGCGAAGTTGTGTGATGGAATCGTAGATTGTCTTGATGGTGATGATGAATTGGGTTGCCAAACTGAATGTTTAGAGGTAGAGTTTACATGTCCCCAAGGTGGTTGCATCCCGTTGTCTTCTGTGTGCGATGGAGTTGATGATTGTTCAAGTGGTACTGACGAGAATCTTCTCAGATGTGGTAGATGTATATATCATGAATGTAGATCTGGAGAATGTATTGAAACACGTCAGTTTTGCGATGGTACTCTGGATTGCGCAAGTGAAGGAGACGAGCTAGATTGCCCAACCCGATGCTCAGACACTGAATACACATGTCTGTTTGGACAGTGTCTATCATCGACTCGTGTATGTGATGGTGTGCCGAATTGTGTCACTGGTGAAGATGAAAGCGCTAATCTGTGTGGATGCGATGCTAACCAGTTCAAATGTGATAATGAGAAATGTATCCTAGGAAAATATGTTTGCGATGGTGACCTGGACTGTTCTAATGGAGAAGATGAAGAGGCGTGTGGTTGCGATGAACTGATGGAGTTTGAATGTCCTACCACTGGTACATGCATTTTAATTCTGCAGGTATGCAATGATGTGCAAGACTGTGAAAATGGAGAGGATGAAAGACTATTGGAATGTCAAAGGCCTACTCCTACTCCAGAACCAAGCATTGAAGGCAAGTGCAACTTTTGTTAGATCGATTTGTACTTGTAAAAATAATAGTTATGGGTATTGTTCACAATATCTCGTGTTAAACTGCCAAATTAATGACTCGGTTTACTTGTGTAGTTAATTTCAGTCATTTTTTAATGATACCCATCTTCGAGACCTCTATCTTTTGTAACATACATGATCTATTCATTCCAAGTAGATCTAGGATCGGTTTGTTGGAAACTTGTGTTTACTGTAAAAATTGAAAGCTTAAAGTCAATGCAAAAGAAGTCTCAAATTGTATTGTTTATAAACGAGGGGGATAGACCTAAATTGATGAGCATTGGTATATTGATGGAGTAAGGGTAAAAGTAGTCTCGTATTTTATTTATTATTTGGGTATAAAATCGTAGCAATATTGAATTATGGTCGTGAAATTTGGAGATTCTATGCTCGAGAAAATATTGAAAAAGTACATACCTCTTTTTGCTGAACTTGGTAGATTTCCGCTGAGAACCCTTAGGATGTCTCGTAATGTTAAATATTGGTTAAACATCCTAGGATCGTGACAAAACGTCAATTAAATGTCCTTATAATTACCAATTTGAAGTGGTTGAATCAGGATTAAGTGCTGGGCATACAATGTTTGATTTCGGTATGGCCAGAGATGTGCAAAGGGTTGGCAATGTAAATATGTTTGTGTCCGCATTTAAACAAAGATCGGCTGATATTGCTGCACAACAATGGTCAATAAATCTTACGAGCATTTACAAACTTTACACCTATAGTCTCTTATAAAAATAATCAGAGAAAT